GTTTCTGCTCTGGAGCTGCTGCTTTTTATGCCATGCACCTGAGGTGTATGTTCTGTCTTGAGTGTGTGCATGATGATGTTTTCTTCATTTCTAACTCAATATTGTAGATCCAAAGGACAGGAAATTAGGGAAGGTTCCACCCTGTGTATCCAGGGTAAGAAGATCCCATGTTTCTCCCTGGTTAAGGAGGCCTGCAGCAGGTCATCTGGATTCTAAGCTGACTTGAAGTGGCAGAGGTCACCCAAGTTAGATTTGTGCCTTCAGAGATGGGTCTCATGTGTCTTGCAGAGGAAAAGACTTGTCAGCTGCATTGAGTTTTGCATGATTATTGAACTAGAACTGGTAGAAATGAGCTTCACAGGTGAGTGGCTAAAGCCCCAGTGAGAATTTCCCCAGAGTGCTGATGTGGCAGATTTGTACTTTTCTCAGTCCCACTTGGTGAGCTGGGAGGACACTCCAACTGGACCCTTCCCTCCCTCCAAGTGCACTTACTTCTTTTTTCCTATGTACAACCATAATTTTAAATTATTTACCTCTCATAGAAATATTATATCTTTCATCCTCCCCATTGCTGAGCAACCTGAACACAGTAGAAAAGCCCTTTTGTCTCAGCCAGAGGTGATGGCATATTGAGTGAGTCTTCAAACCTGCAGACCATCTAAGGGGAAAGGCTATCTACTTTAAGTCAAAAGGCTAGGCACAACATTGTCCTCAGACCATACCATATTCAGAGAAGAATTGTGATACACTCCGTGTCACTTCTGTGACATTCTTTGTTCATTATTGTACTCACAATAGCAAATTTTGGGGTCCGACATGTCACTCCAAGCTACTGAGCTGTATACATAGAGCTTGAGGTCTCTGGGCATGCCACTTAACCCTTTAGGACGTAGTGAAGGTGAACTGTCGATGGTAGCAGGCTTTACAAAAGAAAATACAGGGAGTTTGTATGGTTGGAACTTGCTTAGATTTGTTTCTGAATCTAAGAATAGAAGTTTTAAGTCATGTAATTAGACACCAAAACTTTAGTTGGAGAATGGGACTTGTGGTTAATAAAATTTTCACATATATGGATACTTCATTTTCAGCAATTATAATACAATAGAAAAATATACAGGCATGCCAAATAAACTTATTCTTGATTCATAAGATATTGTAGGACCCTGCAATGCTTTAGTAGTAAATCCCAAATACTGTTTTATACAATTCAGAAGTACTGTACCATGTATTGTGAGTAGCAAGAATGCCAGGAGACAGAGATGCTTCTGGTAGATGAGGGCCAGATAAATCAGCTTTTTTCCATTTTGACAGCCATTTTTCACTGTGGCCACTTAGACTCTGTTATGAGAGGAATTTTCTGAGATCTTGGGAAATGACCTTGATTAGGCTGATTGTCCTTCAGGGAAATTAGTACTCAGAAACTAGAAAGGACAATGAGGTACTCTTCTTACAGTTCTGTAGGGTGTATGTTTGAAAGCCCTCACATCTCAGATCTACACAGAGGGTGCATGTTTATGTCTGTAAGTGCACATACACTGTTGTGCTCATTGAGAAAGGCCGGAGTGGCGGGGGGGGGCAGTAAATCAGATCTTTCCCTGTGGTGAGCAGAAGCAGTGGCGTGGTTGGTGTTTGGGGCATGAACAGGCCAACTGAGCTATTAATGCATACTCAGAACCCTCCCTTCCTTGTAGACTCTGCACTTTTCCTTCTTTGCAATTTGATTCTGTAATGACTATCAGTGGAGGAACCCCAATTTTATGCTCGCTTGGTAAAAATTAAGTTTGAACGTTTCATGGTGGTTGACAGAACTTTGTCCTAAAACATGCTAATCCAGATTCTTTAAAATTCATTTAATGTTTATACCAAAGGTCCTGCCCCGACAGGTGTATGTAGTACACAGAGGGTGAGGTCGCGCACTGTGTGCATTGCCAAGGGGACACAGTGAGATAATGTGGGATTTAACTGAAAACACATCAATCATGGGTCACACTACCAGTGTTGTCAGGTATTTGTTCTTGTTGTTGTTAATATATTTTCAGTTGTTTTGTTTTTCTAATTTAATTCTCTCACTCTTGTCTGACTGTGAACTGCTAACAGTGTTAAACTTGATGTAAATAAATGAGGCCCTTGAAAGGGATTGCTCTCTGCCTGTTGTCTCACAAGGTTTGCCAAGTTGTGTTTTGTTTTAAATAAAGGTTGCAATATTTTATTGGCAAAAGTAAGCTTAAGATTGGAGTATTTCTCCCATGATTTTAACTGACAGGGAATCTAAGCAGAACTTCTCTCTCCTACATAAAAGACATCTTTAATGTAAAGAAGCTGATTTTAGCAAGCATCCTTCTGGCACATTCTTTAGAATATCCTCTGTGGGGGTGAATACTCATCCTTTGATGGATTACATTTTTGGAAACAGACAAAAGGCATCATCTGGAGCCTGGGCTGGTGTGCATAAGATAGGGTATATGTGTGTGTGTCTCCAACATGAGGTGACTAAAGTGAAGCTTAATTCTCAAAATCATTTTGATGACAAGTCCAAATAAATTCTAAAAATGTTTTGAACCAAAGTAGCATTAATAGAGTAATGAGAGACCCTCACAAGGGGTAGGAACATTTTATTCTTCTTTGACTTGGTGTGTGTTTGTTTTTAAATGAATTATTGCTTTTAGAAGTAATTTTAACTAGGTAAGAGTAGACTATACACGAGACCCAATTAGAATGGCTGTTAAACATCAGTTTATATACCTCCTTACACTCCGTACCCTTTAGCCCTTTTCTCCCATCCATTCGTCAATTTTTGGTTTAGTTTAGGAAGTCTTGTTTTTAGAATCATCCAAGAAGGATCTCCTGTTGTGATCTCCCTCCCTCTTTGTGTTGCTTGTAACATTTTCCACACCTGAAACTATGGCATTTGCTGAGGATATCAGTTCTAGAAACAAGTCATTAAAGCATAGAAGCTGGAATCACACTGCCTGAGGTTAAATCCCTACTCTTCTACTGACTAGCTTTGTGACTTTGAGCAAGTAGTTTAAAAGCAGTTTTATTAGGTTTGTATTTTATGATTTATTTATCTTGGCAGCTGGCCAGTACAGGGATCCAAACAATTGGCCTTGTGTTTGTATTATTTTATTCTTAAACACCTTGTGACATTGTGATATAAGAAATATATATTTGGTCTTTGTCCCTCATTCCTGACACAGCTTCTAAAATTCTTGGAATTTCCTGAGTAATAGGTTTGTCTTTTGTTCACAATCCCCTTTCAACCATACCCAAGGTTCATGCTAATGAGTTGACTTTTGGAGGACTGGGATTGGTTGCCAGAGGAAGCATTCATTTGATTAGAGGGTTGGAACTCTCAGCCCCACCCCCTGACCTTCTGGGAGGAAACAGAAGATAAAGATTGACTTAATCACCAATGACCAGTGACCAGTTGTGCATATATAATGAAGCTTCCTTAAAAACCCTAAATGAAGGGGTTCTGGGTTGGTGTGGATGCTGAGAGGGTGACATTCCTGAAGGGGGCATGGAAGCTCCAGGCAGTCCCCCGCCCCCATCCCCATATGTTACCCTATGCATCTCTTCCATTTGGCTGTTGTATCTTTTATAATAGACTGGTAATAGGAAAGTGTTTCTTTGAATTCTGAGCAAATTATCAAACCTGAGGAAAGGGCCATGGAAACTCTTGGTTTGTAATCAAGTTGAACAGAAGTGTGGGTGGGTAACTTGGGGACCCACTACTTGCAACTGGCATCTGAAGTGGGGCAGTCTTGTGGGACTGAGCCCTTAACCTGTGGGGTCAGAACTAACTCTAGGACATCCAGTAAAGCAGGACACATAGCTGGTGAATTAGAGGATCAGAGAATTGCTTGGTGTGGAAAACCCCCACATTAGGTGTGTGTGGAGGAAAAGTGTATTCTGAACACTTTATGAAGATTAACTCACTTAATCCTCCCAACAACTCTATGAGGTAGGTACAGTTATGCCCAAGTAGCAATTAAGGTTAAACTGAGTTTAAACAGCTTTCCCGTGGACTCCAAACAAAGCAGTATGGCTGCAGAGAATGTGTTCAAAAGCACCGTGTTCTGCTGGTCCTGGTTCTGAACTCAGGAGGTTCAGATCCTATATTCATGACACCAAACATGGCTGGCCAGTGCTAAAACAATGTCAGCTGTTCTGTGTCTCTGAGACTTAAAGACATAGCATGTACCCTTTAAAGTAGGTATTTACCGGGTTTAGAGCCTGGTGTGTAGGATTGAGTGGGCTGCATATTCTTCCCAAGATGCTCTAGCCTGAAAGACAGTGAGCCAGCAGCTACGATTGGCCCCCATTTGATTGTGCCATTACGCTGAGTTTACTTTTGTCCCATGAGGGCTGTGAAACTCAGCTCTTTTAATTCATTTATTTGAATATTATTGAGTACTTAATGTGGCTCAGGCTAGGTACTCCCTAACCTTGAGGCATCTAAGTAAATGAGTGCAATGAAGTGTTCAATGGGGGAGAGAAAGCTGTGTTCCATTTTACAGGGGCTGAAGATGGGAAGACTGGGAGGGCTTTAAATAAGACAGGACACGAGATTGATGACAAATAGAAAAGATCTGTTTGTTATATTCCAGATGTGTGGTAGAAGGGAAGAACCAAGAAAAGAGAAAAAACATAATGAGCACCACCTATGTATTAACAGGCACAATGCCACACATTTACACATTGCCATTTAATCCTCAAAAATGACTGCTTTTTTTTTAAAGCTGGGAGTACACGAGTGAACGTTTTCGTATGTAAGAGCAACAATGCTGTGGAAGCCTCTTCAGTTAAGAGGTTGTGCTCAGCTGATGTGGTCCCAAAGCAAACAAGTAAATTAGCAGACCAGTCACATACCTTGTCAGCTCCGTGCATGTCAGCATGCCACCACTGGATCCACTAGTCCCCATCAGGATTACCTGGCATTTGAAATTTTGCTAAGTGAGCACAATTACTAGGTCTCAGTAAGAAAGCAGAGGATTTTAGAAAAATACAAAATTTTAATTTTTACATATGACATGGGAATGTCAAGATCCCTAATTAAAAAAAGAAAATTTTTTCATTCTGCAGAACAGAATAAGTCTTAGCTCACACTGACCTGATTTTAAAAATATCTTCCTCTGTACACCTGTCACTTCAGCCTGAGGCTCGTTGCTGATCTGCTCACAACAGAAGCTGCTGGGCTTTCCTCTGGGAGTAACAACTTGAAAGCCAGCCCACTTGGCCTGCAAACCTGAGGTGTACTCCCCACCACTGGGTCATGGAACTTCATTCTTCCCTGCTATGTAACCCAAGAATCCTGCAGCTTCTGAGGCCCAACACCCAAGTCCAGGCATCTGTAAAGAAGAGCTGAGATGTGAGACCATCTGTAGAGTCATAATAAGCCCTTGGGATTTGTTGATTTCCAACCACCTGGCCCACATTTTGGAATGCATGTCTTTAAGGCACCAAGTGATTTTAAGAATTGGCTCTGCTTCTGATTTAAGGCCTTTTACACATTAGCAGTGTATTAGTGATTGCTGGATGCCAATCTGCCCCTCCCACAGCTTACAGTTCCAAACAGTGCTCTTCAAGGGTCCTCTTAGTGGGAAGAAGGCAGCTCCTGGAAGTCATCTAGCCTTCAAGGTAGGAAATAGTTAATTCTCTGGGAAATAGATTTGCAGCCCTGAGAAGAAAAGATTTGTTGTTCTTTGGGGACATACACCATCATCTTGGCGATTTCATCCAATGCCTCTTCTGTATATGGAAGCTCCTGGTTCTGGAAAGCATCCCGTGCACACAGCCTCACATGATGGTACTCCAGTGGCAAGAAGGGAACGAAGAAGTCAACCAGATTTTCCTTCACAAGACGGCTGTGGCCAAAGCCACTGTCTGAAATCAGGACCAAAATTACATGGAGTCTGACCTGGGGCTGAATTCAGCTGGAGTTTTAAGGTGCCCCCAAACCTAAGGCCTGGGCAAGGTTTGATCTCATATGCCAACTCCAGGAGGGCCGTCTGCAGCATGTGTCAAGAACTCTGCTGCTCCATCTCCCTTAGGTAGAGGACCATGGTTAACTGTGGATATAGCTGCAGGAGAAGCAAGGAGAGTGGGGGCCTGACTGCCAGGTGTGCTTTTGTTTGATGGCAGAAAGCAGAAGGTGGAGGGATTTTACCCCTGGCTGGAGGCTTAGCCACTGAGGTTTCTGCAGTGAGACTCCTCAGAGTCTACAGGCTTCAGAGGCCACTGCCTGCATTTCCTGGGCAGGTGCAAACTTCTCTTTCAAAGCATTTTTAGAAAAGGAGTTCTGGCCTTCCTGGCAGTTTTCTTGTGCCTACCCAAAGTTAACAATGTGAGATGATTATGGCATGTCCTCTGAGTCCCAAGTACCCTGTCTGCCTCATAAACACACATACCAACATCTTATCCCCAACTGTGGCTCTCACCAGAGGTTTATTTTCTACATGGCTGGGAAGCAATCACTTACCTGTGGACTCCACAATCTCAGCCTGGAGGTGGGGCTCCAAATGTTCCATTGTAATTTCTTCTCGGGACCCTCCAGCCTTAAGCCAATTCAGAACCATCTCATTGATGATATTGCCCCCAAGGTTACTGAAAGAGACGAGTTTGTTAACAGATTTCTTTATACTTAGCTTCTAAATGGGTTCCTCGACCACTAAAGCATTAGGGCATGTGGGGCTCAGGGCTGCAAGCTGCATGGAGGGGCTGGAGAAGCATAGGCATGAAAGGTAGGCCAGGGCTAGGTGAGGAGGCCTCTGTCTGCCATGCACATGGATTTTAGCTTATGGGCCATGGAGAACCAATGAGGGGCTTTGAGCTTGGGAGCATGGGGTGGTGGGGTGACTTGGTCAGCTTTACATCCAAAGATCATTCCAGGGCTAGACAGTGGATTGAAGAGGCACAGGATGGTTGCAGAAAGCCAGTCACAGAGCGGATTGAAGAATTGGCGTAGGAGGCACAATTGACAGACCCTGTAACTGGTGGATATGAGAAGTGAGAGAATGGAAGCCATCAGGTGTTGGCCTTAGGCTGCTTGCTGCCCCCTTAAAGTGGAATATAGGAGAAGGGTGGAGAAGAAAACCCGTGAGTGTTTTTTGCTTGCCTGTGGTCTTTCTAGGGGTTATGATATCTTAGGCAATTGGAAATATGAGTCTGAGCACAGGAAAGAGGATTGGGCTAGAGATATGAGGGAGAAAGGGGGTAAGAAACGACGAAATTGTAGCGCTTCCAGCAGGGAAGCTGGGATGGAGGTGGAGACCTTCAGCTGGGTGCACTTCCGCTCGGACCCTCCCCAGCCCCTGTAGCTCCTGCTGTCTCAGCTCACTGCACTCCCCTCCCTGGGCTGCAGTCTCACAGGTGGCTCCTTAGACAAACCGAGCCCTTGGCCATCTCCACGTCTGTGCACTCACTCTTCACACCCTGCTTTATCTTCAGGTCCGGAGAGTGAGGGAGTGTAACAAGGGAAAGACGGGGAGGCAGGCGGCAAGTTAAGGAGTGGGGATCCTGTATCTCCATTTCTTTGACACCCTCAGGCGGATGGACTCAGCAGTCGGCTCCATTAGCATCTGAGTGCATCCTGTGCAGTGGGCTCATGGAGGTGTGCGGTTACAGAGGGGCTGAGTGCTTTCTCTCCCTGCCTTCTTCCACGCTGGGTGGACAGAGGCTGGGGCACACACCCTTCCCTGCCAAATGGTCCAGCCAGTGGTCCAATGCACCTTCCTGTAGTAGGGACCAATGTGCCCCTCACAGCCAGAATTTACCAGGGGCCATCAGCTCCCAGGAGGAGGGGCCCAGCAGGAACAAGGGGTTCCCACCCTTTGCTCGAGGCCAGCTGCTCAGCCAGTCTTCCCTTGACACCTTCTTACAACATTCTTCTTCCTGAAGCTGCTTGTCCCACTCCCCCCTGCGGCAGGAAGGCCTGCCAGGTAGGTCACCTGTGCACCCAGGAGTGGCCATAATCACAGCAGCTGAGGCAAGATTAGCCCCACAGCCAAGGGACTGCCCCAGCATGCATTCCCCACAGGAGGCAGAGGCACGTAGCTCTGCTTACACCATATGGGCCAAAGGGCAGGCATCCAGGGTGAGGGGAGATGAGTGGGGTTCACTTACCCAGCCCCAGAGGCACAGACTTCAGTTCCTTCCCCATTTCTACCCAGAAAACCACCCGACTCTAGCCTTCTTGAGAGCAGGAAGCACAGCCTCGTCATTTACGTCACCCCAGTGCCTAGCACAGTGCTCAGCACATTTCAGGTGCTCAGCAAGTGTTTATGAAATAAACAGACATCTCTGCACGTCTGTCTATACTACCTCCACCTCCCTTCTGAGTTTCTCCTCCTGTTCTGTCCCACAGCCAACATCTCTTTTCTTCCACCATACCACAGGCTTTATCTCATCCACCATGACATAACCTGGGACCCCTCTCTATTCTGTCCCTCCCTCTCCTCAGGACTACCACCCTGGCACCAACATCACACCTTTAGACAGACGTTGCTTTCCTGGAGCACCTCAATTCCTTTCCTCAACCTCCCAGGTAACCTGCTGACTGTGAGGTCTGAAAGGACCAAGAAGCCAGAAGGCACCTCTATTGACCAGCCCTCTCCCCTGGCTCTGGGACAGGACAACATCTAATCTCACCAGCCCTGAGCCTTAAGGCCCCAAGGAAGGGGACTGAAGGCCTCTCCAGAACTAGCTGTTACTGATAACAACCCCAGTAACAAACCCCAACGCTGACCTACTAAGTCTTCCATAGAGCATTTCCAATGCAATGGGGTACAAGGCCTATGATTCCATTCATATTCGTATAGTTCTTTTAATATTTCAAAATCTTTTCTATCTATACTTTGCCTGACCACAGTGCAAATAAAACAGGCGTTCATTGCCCTCACACTTCACAGCTTCAGTGAGAAGAGGACAATAGCTCCAATCTCCAGGGTTCCTTGTTCCCGTGCTGCCACGTGACGCGTTCTCGGAGCCTTCTGTACTTGTAGTCAATGTTAGTTTTCTGTTATCCAGCCAACGGGCCCCCTAATTCCTCCAACCCAGATGCAAGATAGGCTCTGAGGGCTGGGGCACCCTAGGACACCACACATGAGGCTAACCTGCTTCAACTGCCACCTCCTCCCTTCTGCTGCCATCAGATGCCACCAGGGGGCAGGCCAGCAAAGCCCTACAGCTCATTTCGGAAGGCAGGTTTAGGATTTTTTTCAGGATTAAACTGCTGGTCTTGCCCTAGTGTAACTCTGTCACAGGAGCAGTTTGAGTCAGCTGTGCTTTTCTTTCAAACACAAGAATCCTTGCCACAAAGTGGGATAAATTGAAGCTCATCGTAGAAATCAAGTCCAGAGGCTCAAATATCAAATACATTGTCTTCCCCAACCTATCACTAGAATACCGAGAACCTGGGAGGTTTAGAGGCCGCTGTTTTGGGGGCTCCCTAGCCCAGAGTGATGGGGTGGGGCACTGGTGGTCGCTACCCTGGATGGCCTGGGATAGACTATGTCAGCCTGCCCCTCAGCTTCCCTGTGTTGGGGGCCTCCGGCTCTTGCTGGCTGGACACAGGCCTGCACCAGAGCCACTAGAACTCAAGGCCACATCTTAAGTGGCCCTTCAGATCCCTGTCACAGGTATGTGTCCTCCACTCTGTCCCACTGTGAAGCAGTCTAGTGGGGCAGCTTTTCCCCATGCCTTGCCTCCACCCAGGCTTGACCAGCTGTCTGTGACCATGTGGTCTCAGACATCCCACCAAGGCCGGGTCACTGGGAGAAAGGGCAGAGCTGACCAGGAGACAGAGGGCGCTGCCCACGGGTCAATAACCAAAATACTACAAAGGCAAATGTTTGCCTGGACAGCAGGGTCACCGGGTTGCATTAGGCAATTGTGACCCAGGCGAGGGTGCGGGTTTTCTAAGCTGAGAAGCAGGCAGCACCACCCAAGGCTGGCGGGCCCAAGTCGGGGAACGGTTGGTGGCGCCATGGCCACAAGCCTGCACGGGCTTGAGCCCACATGAGGGAAGAGCAGGGGAGGAAGCTGCTTATGTGCAAAAGTAAAAGGGATGATCCCTGCAAAAGTGAAAAGGAGGCCCGAGTTGCGGTCCCCATGCTTTGCTCCGTGAGTGAGGACTCGCTTATGCAGCTACGGTTCAGAGGGTCCCCTGGACTCCTGTCCCCTCCCAACCACCACCTGGAAGGGCTTAGGTGGAGAAGCCTAAGGACACAAAGGTGAATCCTCCAGCCAGCCTCCTCTGCATTTTTGGGCCTCCACCTAATTCACTGCAACAGAAGGAGACCTGAGCCTGGCTGCCTCAGAAGGTGGTGAGTAGTACATAGTACCTGGGGATAGGAATTAATGTGAAGAATTTACTACCCTTACCTGGTAAGTCTCCACAAGCCCCACTTATAGACCAGGAAGGATTTGCCATCAACACATGGAAATCCCACCGCAGCGACAGGCATAAATGCGTTCGTCCTGTGTGCACTGAAACCAGACCTGCCTTCCACACTCACCTTCACACTCTCCAAGCCTGGATGGGAACCAGCCTCCCTCCCCCATCCTCATGGGGACTCCACCCTGCAGCCCAGGAAGGTCCCTCAGCAAGCAAGTGCTGGCGTGGAGGGAGGGTGGAGAAGCAACTAGTTTGGCTTCCATTGAGTCCACAAAAAGCTGTTGTGAAGCATTCAAGTTGGGCCAACAGGGGCCCAAACCTGACTTCTGACTGATGGAGCCTCCATAAAAAGACAGGACTGGACAAGTCGTTTCTAAGTTTGCTTCCCGCTAAGCCCTTTCGCGAGCCTGGGGAACACAGTAGAACAAGGGCAGAGGAAACGCAGCACAGTGGTTAAGTGACTGGGTCCGCAGAGCAGTGCTGCGAATACAGTTGTAGGTACTGAGAGATGGTGCACGTTTCAATCAACACATTATACCCTGAATTGTAAGCCAGGGTCTTCCTCTCATGGTCAGAGAAGAAACAGACCTTCCAAGCCTGGAGGAAGAACTGGCCGTGTTGGACTTAGTGGGAGACTACGCTGTCCTCTGACCAGGCCTTCCTTGGGAATTTTCAAAGGTAGTCGGTACTTGATTTTCAGCTAATGAAAGCTGAATACCCTTCCTAGGGGGACCCCCAGTGTGTGAGCGTCTCCCCTGAGGAAGGTACACACCAGCTGCGGAGTGTGAGGGGCCTAGCAGTCCTAAGAGGACCACGCGCACGAGTGGAGGGCTAGCCGAGGGACCGCTCCTCCAGGCTGCTCTCAGTTCATTAGCCTGGCTGTGGGGGTCAGTGCCGCTCAGCAGCGCATTGCAGGGTAGAACCAGGGCAGGAGCAGGGAGACCTAAGGCTTCCCAGCCCTGCTTCCATCCAAGTAGCTAGGCTTCTGTTTTCTGCACAGGAGTTTGTAGAAGGCTCTGCAGCCGAGAAAGCGAGGTGGCCTCTGCTGCCCGCTGATATCGTCCCTGCACCCAGTCCTCCTGGCTATTGTTCCTCAGACCTCACCTGAGAAAGAGAAAGATGGTTCTCCGAGCCCTGTGGCCCTCAGGGGACTGGTGTTCCAGCTGCGGCCCAAGGACCTCCAGCAGCCCCGGGTGCAGCTTCTCAGCTTCATCAAAGATGAACAGGGTCTGCTGGCAGCGCTGTTGCGTCTCCTGGATCTGACCCATCAGCTGCTCCTGCACGGGACATAGGGAGCCGCTGGGGAACTGGGGGGCACACTCCCACCCTCCAGTAGGCATCGGCTTCCCCAAGGCATCTGCAATGGCCCACTTGAGGCTGGGTTCCACCCCTGGAACTACCAAATGCAAACCTCTGTGGGCAGGGCTAGGACATGCTCATCTAACAAACTTCCCAGGTGATTCTCGTGCACCCTGAGGTGGAGCCAGCCTGGGTAGAGGGGGAGGGCCCGAAAGGGAGTGGGGAGAAGCCCTTCTGCCCTTGAGAACAGGCCTGCTCTTTCCTCTCTGGAACTAGGTCCCATTCTGGAACTAACCGTGAGCTCAACCTCTCCAGGGGTAGGAGTCAGGCTCTAATCCGAGGTGACAGGCAGAGGAGGGGCTCATGTGCCCAGAGGCAGCCACAGCCCCCTGCCCTGAACTCCCAGGAGCAGACTGTCCACTAGCACCCAAGCTGGGCCAACCTCTCGGGGCAGCAAGTCTGCTGAAGGCCTGTCTACGGTACAGCCAACCCAAAACTTGGGGGCTTTGCTAGGTTCCTCGTCCTAGGCAAGATAGTAAATGCTTAATGGAAAAGAATATATTTTTTAGGGCCAGATCCTACCCCAGATCCCACACTCCCTGTCCATCTCTAGCCTCCCTGGACTCCGATTTCAGCTCCCTAATCACCCGCGTGTGAGTGTGTGTGAGTGTTTGTGTGTGATGTGAGAGAGTTAGTATACATGTTGGTTTTCACAACAGGGAAGTTGCGATCCACAGCAGTTTTGCCACAAAACCAGGTAGTTCCTGAGAAGGCCCAGCTGACCGACTACCTGTCCCTAGAACAGCAGGGGTTCAGGACAGTTCGCCCTGCCCCTGCCCTCCAGGGCCATATTGATTCTGCCGGGTGACTTGGGAATCTCTGTCCTCAAAGGCTTACACAATCTTCCTGGGTTAAGACATTCCAAATATTAGAACAGAAAGCCAAAGACACATGCAGTCATTTCTGTCATGCTGCAATAGGGGTTTGGTCATCTTCTGGCTTAAATACTACATGTCGACTTATTTTAAATACTGCATTTCTGTCCATCCACTTGCTGGAATATAATGAGCCATTATGGAAAGACACAGAAAATCACTCTTTAAAAAAAAAAGCAGGACATGGAACTTTCTGTCCAATATAATTACAGTGACATAAAACAACACAGGGGAAAGGTTTGCCACCAGAGGAAGTATACCAAAATGCTAACTGCTGTTAGCTAACAAGGTTATGTCTTTGTGGGAAGATTACGATAAAGTTTTTGCTGTTCTCTGTTCCACATTTCCTGTGACATTTCTCTATTTCTATAACAGAAAAATTAATGTGTACTTTCTGTTTAAGCTCAGTGACTGGCCTCCCGTGTGTGGCGGTTGAAGAGACAGAGCTCAGGTCTGGTGTGTAGAACATCAGTCTTTCCTCAGGGTGCTCAGGGTCCCCTCTGTGTTTAGTGGGTGCAGTGGATGTCTCTGTTACTGGTTCTGTCACAATCGCCTCCAGTCCCCACCCTTCCGCTAGGCTTCTCCAGAGCCCAGCTCCTTGCAGGGAAGAGCTGTTTACAGGGTCTCCCTCCCAGCACAGAGGCCTCATTCCAGCCCCAGCCGTGGCTGGCAAAGCCTGCCAGCACTGCCCAGCCTCACCTTGTACAGGTCCGTGTACTTGGGGTGGGGAAAGTGGAACGTGGCAATAAATATCTTGACGCAGTCACTCCTCAGCCCGTCCCGATACAGGCTCTCTGCCAGCATGCGGGCCACGAAGTTCTTGCCTGTGCCAGACCAGCCGTGAAATGACAGAGCCAGGGCCTTGTCTGGCCGGGGCATCTCTAAGTAGTGTCTCACTGTTCTCAGGACCAGCTCTCGGGCCAAATGCTGGCCATGCAGTCTCACTCTCAGGTCCGACTCTAAGCCTAGGGACAGGACAGAGGAGGTCACAGTGAGAGGCGCACACACAGGCACAGTCCCCACCAGGCTCCACAATGGCTGAGAGACTGAGCATCTCTGAACATCTCTGAGGAGGGATCAGTTATTCATCCTGTTTAGCCTAAGAACAAGAAGCCAAAGGGAAGACCTTGCAGCAGAAGGGATTCAAGGGCTATTTTTGAAGAGGCTGAGAAATCGAGATTGAACTCAGGAAGAGAATGGAATCACCTTTCCGAAGACCCTGAAGACGTCCCAGAATGGTTGGCACAGACCTGTCTGGAAAAAGAACCCCACACCCCCACGCCCTCAGGTCGCTCCCATTCCTTTCAGGACTCCCTAAATGTTTTATGGAGAAGCCCCATTTTATTCATTCTAATTCAGTTCCACAGGTCCTTGAGAGCAGCTACCGCGTTGCAAAGCCCTCTGCTAGGCCTTACTTCCTCTCAGCCATGAGGTTGCAGGATTGCGGGATGGGGGCTACCAGGAGTCATAGGGACAGGGAGGGTGTGCTGCCAGCTGTGGGTAGGGACTGACCATTCTGAGTCTAGGATCAATTGGTTGGGCACTTTGAGCCAACCTGGAGAGAGTATTCTGGAGCCTGGCGGGTCAAGGTCTATTGTAAAACAATGGAGGTATCACACATCGCTTCAAAAGTAGTAGTGGGCTGGCTGGTTAGCTCTGTTAGTTAGAGTGTGGTGTTACAACACCAAAGTCAAGGGTTCGGATCCCGTTACTGGCCAGCCGCCAAGAAAAAAAAAAAAAAAAAGGCAGTGACACAGAAAGGAAAATTAATATTTGCTGCTGTTTTCCCTGTACTCAGAACTGTGCTGTTTTTCATCTTCACAATAACTCTGCATGACAGGTATTATTATTCCCACTTAAAGATGAGGAAACAGAGACCTGAAAAAAACTGCCCAAAGTTTGGCAGCTAGTAAGAGGTGAGACTAGGAATCCAGCATAGGTGTACTGATTCCCCAGCCAGGACAATTTGGATATTCGGGCCCTTGTGTAACAAAAGGCATGTTGAGGGCAGAGAGGTAACTTGCTACCTGCCTACCAAGGGTCTTATCCCTAGTGTTGGCAGAAACCCTGTTCCTAGACCCACTGTGTCATTGGCATGTTTGCCAATAAAGAGACCTAATATCTAGGGTGAGCCTCACTTATGGAGATTCAAAGAGTTGGTATCAGGAGAACTCTAGGCAAGAAACTGCTCCTGGGGAAAATACAGGAAACTTTTGCAAAGGACTGAAGGTCCTTTATCAGAATAGGTTTAGTACTTGGGGCTAAAGATCACCCTCCTGAGAGTCAAAATGGCAAATTGACTGCAATATGCAAATCAGGCTTGCCACCTGAACTAATTAAAAAAATACACTGGAGGGAGGGTGGTTAGTTGTGATTCACAAGCAGCAGGGGAAGAATGCAGGCAGACCAGTATGGGGATTCTCTTTTTTTTTTTTTTTTTTGTCCTTTTTGAGACCGGCTGCACCGTGCTCAGCCAGTGAGCGCTGTGAGCGCACCGGTCATCCCTATATAGGATCCGAACCCGTGGCGGGAGTGCTGCTGCGCTCCCAGCGCCGCACTCTCCCGAGTGTGCCACGGGCTCGGCCCAGTATGGGGATTTTCAATCTGTGTAATGGTTAATATGTTTCTGGTTATAAACTCATTCAATCTCCTATTTCTCTCAGGGTGTGGAGCCACTGAGGCATCTGCACTTACCCTAGATAAATCAGGAACCCACACTGTATCACCCAGACATTTGTTGGCTAAAGGTTAAAAGGGACACTTTTAATTATAACCCACAATTTCTGATTAGTTCTCACTTGATACTCCCAACCCCCCCCTCTGAGAGGTTGTTGTTCCTGTTCACAGACAAGCTGCTGTTGGCCTGACTCTCCTAAAGAGTCATAGAATATGCTGGATTATGAATTAATCTCTGCCAAACTCTTAGCACAGTGCCTGGTTCATGGTAGGAGCTCAATAGAAATTAGCTACTCATCTTCTTTCCTCCCTGGACACACATCCCGGGATGGCAGGAGGCCATGATGGTAGGTGGCAAATGAGCAGAGGAAAATACTTGGCCTAGGCAGGGGACAGACGATGGCGATCAGAGGCCTGTCCTACAACTGGCAGTGTCCCCTCCCCCCAGCTGTCTTAGCTGGGTGTGACATGTTCATGGTATTCCCAAGGATCCCCAAGATCTATGAAACAAGCTCAGGTAGCTTGAGCCATTCAACTAAAGGGGTCTTCTCATCCCTCATTCAAGAATTTTGGTGCTTCGTCAAAAAACAGTATGTTTTGGCTTCTGTTCCCAGAAGGAAGAATGCAAAATCCACTAGTGGCATCATTAATGTTGGTGTCACATTGTTCCCAGTGACAGAGGTTATTATTTCTGGAAAACCTGGCAGTTCAATGTCTTGCCCAAAGAAGATCCTCAAATAACTGCAGACCTGACTTCACTCTTATTGTGGCAATTCCTGCTTGGGGGGAGGCGGGCAGGATAATGAAAGGTCCTTTGCACCCTAGCCATTTCTCCTGAATTGCCTTCCCTCCCCACAGATCCCTAGCCCCTTGAGGCCATGCGGAGTCCAACCTGTAAAGTTGTTGGAGATCCTGCAATCCCCACTGTAGCAGCAGTCCTGGAAGCTGCAGTACCATGTGGTCAGGATATCCAGGTACTGCTGGCCCAACACGGGAAGGCTCCAGCCTGGAAAAGAAGGAGTTGTGAGACAGGGACGAGACCATCTGGTCCAGGACAGTGGTGACAGCCTGCCACACAAGCACTCAGGTCCCAACTCTCAGCCTAGGCTCTGCCCACTGCATGTCCTCAAGCACTTGCTTCCTGTAAGCAGCAGAGAAGGAGGAAGAGGTACTTGGGGGTGGGGACAGTCACCAGTGTGTGACTTTCCTTAAAGCCATCAAAAAGTTGGGGAGGAGCAGTACCCTAGAATAACGCCAGGTGCACTGTGAGCATGTCTGGAGGAGTCGGGGACAGGTGAGGTGGGGGAGGGCGGCCTGGCCTATTCAGATCCAACAGGCGGCGGCCCCAAAGATGGGAGGTGTGGGGGCGATGGGGCTTCCTGACCCGCGCAGGCTGCCCCTGCCCACAGCCGGGTGCCAGGGGCTGGGCGGGCGGAAAGCTGACTGATACGGCCTGTGCGGTGGCCCAGGCAGGAGCGAGGCTTTGACAGCCGCGTCCCCAATTCCGCTCCGCTTCTGCACGTCCCCGCCCCGCGGGCGCCCGCGCTCCGCGACGGCTGGTGGGCCGGGCAGTGGGCCGCGGGGACGGAGTCTTACCCAGGGGACCCGCGGCAGCCTCCTCGTCCTCCTCACAGTCGCCGGGCCACACCTGGCAGCGGAAGAGCGCCCAGTACCGCCTGGAGAGGGCACCGGCCGCCCTCAGCCGCTCCTGCAGGCGCTGGAAGCCCGGCCAGGCCCATGCCGAGCCCGGCTCGTCGGCCGCCTCCCCCG